CCGGACCTTGGTGTGCTTGGCAGAGGCTTCGACAAGATTGGGATGAACTGGATGAGATCCGGAGGACCCAACTGCCATTTTGGCGCCTGGGAAGGGAGATCTGGGACATCCAGGAGGCGGAGGGGCGCTTGTGCCTCACGGAGCAACCGGAGGGGTCAGAGGCGTTGGAGACCAAGTACATGGTGGAGCGAGACCCCCTCTACCGGGTCGTGGTGGATCAGTGCAAGTTTGGGTTGAAGGACCCGGTCTCCCACAAGTTGTATCGGAAGACCACTGCCTTAGATGTGAACAAGCAAGCCTTTGCTATGGGGTTGGCCACAGCCACCAGGTGCAATCACCGGCCGGCAGATCATGAACAAATCCGAGGTTCAGTGCGTGTGGATGGCATTTTGGAGCGGCGATCCATGTTGGCCGGGAGGTGGACCAAGCAGTTTGCCCAGTATATCCTGGAAGCGGCTCAGGTATGTTTGGCCGGACAGGTGGTGGATCTTAATAACCAATCCCCTTATAAAAATAATACTAAAAAAACACGGCCAATATTAATATTTCCAAAAATGTACGTCACGTTATAATACGATAAAATTTCGTTACGTTAAAATATACAAAAAATCGAATAATATTCCGCGCCACGAAGGGTTTCTCCATAAGCCTTTATCGAGTCAATTAATTTATCAATAAATTAGCACGTAAAATTACGGAGAGGGCGTGCTGACCCCTGAGGAGGTTCTTAAGAGGCAGATGAAGCAGATGGGGGCCGAGGGCGAGAGATACGACTACATCCTCTTTGAAGGAGAGGCTCGAATGCTTCCTCGGCGAACTCGGGCAACGCTAGCACATTTACACGTGGCCTTGGGACATCTTTCAAATGAACGATTGCACCGGATGGTCAGCCTTGCGGGAGGAAATGCCGACCTTTTGAGCGGGATCAAGAACCTAAGATGTCAGGTCTGCCAGATGGTCGCCCGCCTGGGAGCAAGCCACAGGTGTCCTACCTCAAGCCGACAAACTTCAACCAGGGGGTGAGCGGAGACGTGTTCTTCATTTGGGACATTAAGAACGTCAAATACGCCGTGGTGCATTACATCGACGAGCTCACCGACTACCATGTGGGAGCGATGGACTTTGACCCGAGCTCGGATTGGGCGGCCGATGTGCTCTGCCGACTGTGGTATGATGTGTTCGGCCCCCCGGACAGCCTGACAACGGACGGGGGAACGGAGTTCCAGGGCTGTTTGGCTCGTCTAAATGAGCTTTTTGGGGTGCAGCATGACATCGTGCCCGATCAGGCAAAATGGCGTTTGGGTCACGCCGAACGCCACGGCTCCATCGTGAAGACCGGGCGGAATACACCCTTGCCTGGATCCCTGATGGCTCAGATCACCAGCGGGAAGGTGAAGTTCAAGCTCAATGAGGCGATCACCCAGGAGGAGGCCCTCAGGAGAGCCGACCGAATCAGGGCTGCCGCCATTGAGGCATGTCATTGGCTTGATGCACATGAAGGCCTTCGCCGGGCACTGGCCGCTCGATCCAGACCACCGCAATACGAGCTCATTCGGGAGGGCACGGCCGTCTACGTGTACGATCCTCCAGTCAATAAACGGGGATTGGCCCGCCGACTCCAAGACAATGTGTCCTGGAGCGGACCCGCCATTGTGGTCTGTGTGGAGCGAGACGGGACCATCCCGAAGAAGATCTGGGTGCGACTGAGGTCACGAGTGAAGGCCTACCCGCTGGAGAAGATCAGGCTGGCGACCGCGGATGAGATGATCAGCGCGGACTTCATCGTGGGAGCGCTGAAGGACTTGGAAGGGGAGCTCAACGAGGGCAAGCTGCAGGTGGCCGACATCGAGGAGGATGAGAAGAAAGAGGACTCGGTCGAGGAGAAGCAATTAGGGGGTGAAGTGGACCCGGAGGTGGAAAAGAAGAGAGAGCTCACTCACGATGTCCCACCAGCCATGGGAGGTGGAGCCTCATCTCCTGCCGTTTAAGAAGAAACAGAAGTTGTTCGAGCAGCTCGCCAAGGACTTGGGGGCTCCTTCCACTATGCAAGAGGCCGCGGTCAGGAACCGCCTGGAGGATGCTTACGGCCAGCTCAAGAAGGTGCGGAAAGAGTGGAAGAAGGAGCAGAAGGAGAAGGGGAGACAAGCCGCACGGGGCTCGACGGCCGCAGGATCGGGACGAGGAGCTGCAGCCCCTTCGCAGCGGGGCGCACTGGAGGTGGAGCCGATCGAGGCGGAGGCCTGGAGCGCTCTATGGTCTGAAGTGGAGGCCCAGGCAGCGCTGTGGGAAGGGGATCCCGGGGAGAACCTCTATTTGAAGAACATCGTGGACAAGTCGGAGGAGTACGCCTCGGGGGAGGTCAAGGCCGCCTTGGAGGCCCAGATCGTCACCGGCAAGCTCAGGGTGGAGTACCAATGGCAGAAGCTCTCGGAGGAGTGGCGGAAGGCCTATGAGGGACCCTTAGTGAAGGCGGTGAAGGTCTACTTCGATCATCAGGCCATCGATGGGGTGCCGAAGGACATCATCGTCGATCCGAGGAAGATCCTGGGTTCCCGCTTTGTGCTGACGAACAAGGGTGGTGAGCTGCTGCTTGACGCAGAGTTGAAAGCTCGTTGGATCCTGGGAGGTCATCGCGATGTGGAGGCGGGTCGCTACCCCACCTTGGCACCCACAGCCAGCTTGTTGGGTCACAACATCCTGAACATGGTGGCCGTGCAGAAGCGGTGGGGGGTGCACTATGAGGATGTGAGTGCGGCCTTTCTTCAGGGGCAGCCATTGCCTCCGGAGCGTGAGGTCTATGTGAGGATGCCAGCTGGATATCCGACGGTGGTGACGGATTACATCAAGGAGATGGTGGGGGGCAACTGCCGGCATGATATCCTACGGTTGCTGAAGGGTGGATTTGGATTGGCTGAGTCGCCGCGGCTGTGGTACCTCGAATACAAGGTAACGCTAAAGCAGATTAACCTCAATGAGCTTAAGCTGATCCCCGGCATGTTCGTGGCCTTTCATCCGGATGGACGTCTTCGAGCAGTGGTTACCATCCATGTGGACGACATAAGGTACGCCGGGGATGATACGGCACAGGAGATCTGGGATGCCCTGCACGAGAAGCTGAAGTTTGGGCAGCACCGTATGGCCACTGAAGATTGGTAGAAACTCTGTGACCGTTATGAGAAGCAGGACCCGAGACCTTTGAGTTCATGTACACGATGGAGGACTATGTGGTGAAGATCCCGGACATCACGAAGGAGGAGTGCAGCCTACAGCGGGGCCCCTTGAGCGAGAAGGAGAGAACCAAGATCGGATCCATCTTGGGTCAGATCAATTGGACAGCACGATAGGGACGCTATGACTTGTCGTACGGGGTCTCGCACTGTCAGCAGTTGGCTGGCGCAGGGAAGAGGGAGGCAATGGAGAGGACCGCCAAGTTAGTAGCCAGGGCGAAGAAGGAGGTGACCATCAGGGTTCCATGCCTTGGTTGTGACCTCAAGCACATGGTGATCGTCTCGGCGAGTGACGCCGCCTTTACAGCGCAGCCTAAGGGACATTCACAAGGTGGCTTGGCTTGCATGGTGGCGCACCCTGACGTGTTGGAGAAGGCGGCTCCGGTATGCCTGCTAGAAGCCCAGAGCATGAAGATCCAGCGGGTGGTCCGCTGCAGTATAAGTGCAGATCTCTCCATGGCAGCTAAGAACTTTGAGCATGGAGACTTCATCAGGGCGACCTTAACGGAGGTGTTTTTCGCGGATTTCCAGCTGAAGAGTTGGAAGTGGTTCGCAAGCCGGTAGAAACACTACCTCGTCATCGATGCGAAGACGGGATACGATTTTTTGGCATCGGAGGCTCAGACCTCGGATCGGAAGATCCTTATCGATGCAGCCGTCCTTCGAAAGGCCTTGGTCGAAGAGGGGACCGGCAATTATGTGAGGTGGATGCCAGGTCGAACGATAATCAACGATGGACTGACGAAGTAGGCCGACAATGGCATCTTGCTCCAGGTCATGAAGGAAGGACGCTAGAATTTGGTAGACACTGCCGAAGCCCAAGCCTTGAGGAAGGAGGCTTCGGACCGCAAAAAGCGGTATGTGCAGATGGGGCACGGCAGGACCAAAGGGGGCGTATATAAAAGCGAGCCATACCTGCCGTAATACCTGCCGTGCCAGCCACCAGGGCTCGAGGCCAAGAAAAGGGTAGAGCGCTGGCACTTTTGAGTATTATAATCCTTATAATTTATGCAGCACCAAAATCCTCCCACCAGTCAACGTCATCCTATCTCCCTGTCTGGCGGCACGTCCTTAAGGACTGTTATTTACCCATAATTTGAAGTTAGTGCGTTACGAAAAGCAAATGCATTTCTTATAGCTAAATAATCGAAATCAAAAATCAACCCTCTTTCCTCCTGTGTCAATAAAACGTTATTCAACGTCATTTTTACATAAATAATTCAGGATTTTCGTCCGATTACAATTATATAATCCACTCAAAGCAAGTGGGATTCGCTCTCGTAAAAGGGCTACGCCGCGCGACGCCTTTCGCACGCCGTATTATGTAGTTAATAAGTCGACTTCGAGCGCGATTACCATATTTGCAAACATAATCCGAATATATATAAAAAAGAAAACAATTTTTGTTAAATTTAATTATATGTATTAATATTATTTATATCAATTAATCGTATCCATCAATTTTATATATAATTTTTTTAATTTTCTTATCTTCTTTAATTCTATTCATCCCTATCTTTTCATATAAAAAACAATTAACAATATCAATATCGATATACATTCTTTAATACCATATTATATTCTTAAAAAACAAACACAATATTTATTCAAGAAATCGTTTTAAACTAATATTAATCCAAATACATTATTTTACGATTATTTAGGATTTATATTAGTATATATATTTAAATATTATATAGTTATATCTATATATTAAATTACATTTTATATATTCCAATTAAGATATATAATTGATATTAGATTCTATATATTTTGATATTTTATATCAACAAATTCTGAAATAATTATTCGTTGGTATACCCAAAGTTCGACTGCGTACCTGAATTTTGCAGGAATATGAAAGAATTAATGTATAATGAAAATTATAATTGCGAATGTATCTGGATGAAGCATACGACAAAGCCTTCACCGAAGCGTCAAGTGACGGAGTCCAGTCGCCCAAGCATGCTTCACCGCGAAAGTCAAAGCCTTCACCAAATGTGCGACAAATGAGTCTGCGCTGCCCATGTTACAATTGGTTGAATCATCTGTTTGGTCCTTTGCCGGATTCCAATTCGCATGCTTAAGCATTTATTATCCCATCAAAACTAACTAACTGTAAACCATGCTGCTGTGACAAGGCTTCTTTTTGCCTCTCATCACCGCAGCTTCGCTCGGAAGTCCTTGGTGATGAAATAAGGTTTGTTTGCCAGAATTCTAAAGCGGAAACATGGCCTACCGAACTGCTGATCAACTTACATGCTCCCTGCTTAAACATTGATGATTTCGATTACGCGCTTGGGTGGGGCAAAACCCATGGCTTGATGATGACAATGATGGTGATCAACTGATCAACTGGTTATCAACCAAAATAAAACACTTGAGACACAAAGAAAGAAACCATTTTTCAAGGAGCATTGCAATTCGACTTCTTATGTGACATGTGCTCCTTGTTTACTTCGTAGAGTGTACACATCTGGAACTCATTTGTGCGAAACTAGTGCCAAGCAGCTCTTGCCTGATATCATCACGGCGCCTGGTCGCAGGCGCAAAGCCTTACGTGCCACAGCTGCCACCAATGTGGAGGGCCAGGTGACGCAATTGGCAAAGACCACCTCGGTTGCCACGGTCTTCGCCCCTTTGGTATATAACAGGACAGTCTTTCTGCGTTTCTTCTTTTCCATACAGCCCTGGACTAAGAAGGAACAAGACTTGGACCCTGGACACAAAGTTCTGGATCAACAGGCGGACAGCCTCAGAAGCCCCCTCTAACAACCTCCGACAGCACCTTGACATCCAGGCAGCTGATGCATCAGACCAGTCTTCTGTCAGAACGTCACCTTGGATAAACATCCTCAGCTGGGTGTCACGGCAAAAGTAGACGGAGTCAGCTGCCACGGAGCATTCCTTCAGCTTTCAGAATATACACCCCTCACCGATCTGCATGTCCAAATACTTGCTAATTTGTGCAACAAACACTCATAAGTAGCTATAATATATATATATATAGTATATATATTATATTAACATATTGATATATTGATATACGAGAACAAACAACATCAAAACGGAGTCAGGGATTACTTGAGCATCGCAGAATATCGCAGATTTGCGTTGCTTATACACCATGAGTCTAAAATCTTGATGGTGTTGGGTTTGGGGGCCGGTGAGGTGTGTAGTGTGGGGTGCGGGGATCGCTTACCTACCGAGTGGTTGGGGTGGGGGCTGATACCGAGTAATTACACCGAGTACAACAGCAGTGGGGTCCTGAAAGGGATTGAGGACAACCAAACCACTTGGATGTGACCAGTGCAAACGCGAATACATGAGTGCTGTAAGACGTGCATGTAGAGCTGAGATGAGCTGAGCAGACTTAAGGAACAACACAAGCACTTGGGGTGGGGTTACGCCATGCTCGTTGATTTCAACTCAGGATGGCATACATTGTTTGAAGGGAATGACTTGAGGCTGAGGGTTTCAATGAAGACATGTTGTCAATAGGAGCACAAGTTGTGGGTGTGGCATCTATGGTTTCCCAACCTGTGGTGGGCAAGCGATCCAAATTTGCGGCAGTGCGCACACGCGATCCGATTTCGAGTCACACAAGCGGTATCAAATATGAAGGCTAGTGGCTAGCACAATCAATGATCAACAATAAGTCAATAAGCGCATAAGCAACCTGGAACCATGTACTATGGGCTACGAGTACATGTCCGTGCAAACCCTACAAGCCCTCAACGTCCTGCTCCATGATGTGTTTTCTGATTCCAGCAAAGCTTGTTTGATCCTGTATTGATATTGCTTGGGATCTCCGTCTGAAGCGATGAAGCCCACCCAAAGCTTAACATCCTTGTTAAACTGAATCCTGAGCTGCAAGTGGGGTAAAGAGCCGAGCATCAAATCAGGAAGTACATGCATTCCATTGGCAAACCCCTCCTTCACCTTGGGCAAGTCTTGCACTTGCAAGAGCTGAAATCCTTTGTTTCAGCCAAGCGCTACAAGAAGCGATCTCAATCCATTTCATACATCATTCCAATGATTCAAAGGAAACAACACTGTTCACCCGGAACTTGCTCAGGCATGCCTTGCAGCGCTCTTTTTGTGTTGGAGTCGCTGCCGAGCCACATACCACTGTGCCAACAGGCGCGCTGACTCGTTGTACTCTGGTGAAATCTCAAAGCCTTTGCATGCATGGCATGACATCTGCTGGTTTGAAACTATTGGCGGCCTCAATTGCTTGATTCCTGGACTAGACTCACTTGCGCTCAGGCTCGGATCGATTCTGGCGTCTGTTAATAAGAACAAGTTCTATACAAATGCAGCACTGATGTTCAAATTAATAAGGTTGTCTTTATGTATATGTCCACTCACTGTTGCTTCTTAGTTTTTACATGTTTTTGATTGTTGGCCACAACAGTCATACTGATGCTCAAGTCCTGTCCAGGTTGTGCACACGTTTCTGCACTTTGCCTGTTCACCTGTGCACCAGCCCAGCTTGACCTTCCGCTTGACCTTCCCTGCCCACATGGCATTTGAACACACTGATGCTTCTGTCGCTTCAAGTCCTGAAGGTAGACTTGCTTGCCTTTGCCTCTTACTTATGCCCTTGTTCTGCTGACAACTTTGTTGCCATGTTTCGGTATTGCAGGTTCAAAACTCTTTGGCAGTTTTATGCTTTGAACTGCCTCGGGGGCATGGTAAACAAGATGAACCTCTGACTTGATTGATTTTGCCTGGGCAATTTCAGCACAGGTACGGTGTACCAAAGCTGAGAAGCTCCAGAGCTAGACATCGGTACACTTATCGCCCGCTTCGCCGCTTCAGTGCAGATTCATCCCAAGGCGGGCACTAAGCCTGGAACCCACACAGCTTCGGAAAGGAAATAGGGCATGGGCAGTGAAGACCTTATCGTGCAACAAATGTCTCCAGCTGGCTTGAAAAGTACTCTACACTCTAGACTAAGTCTCCCTGCAGCCATTCCGCGGCCAGAACCCAAGTCTACAAAGCGCCGAAAAATGTCTGCACATGAGTCTGCGCGGCGGCAGATGCGATCCTAAGCGCCAACCAATTGCTTTTATCCAGAAAGCACAAAAGCTCATGGAGACAATGACAGGTGCCTCCACTTGCCGCACGCTCCATCCAATGAAACTGGAACTGCTATGTAACATAGGTTATGTATTTAGATTTAAATTCAAGACAAGCAGCCAAAAGAGATGCAAAGGACTCCACTTCAACATTGCCTCAGCTGGGAGCCCATACTCCCCTTGCTAGAAATCCAATGCGCCCAAAGGCCGCTACAGTGTTTGGCGGTTTCTTGGCAGATATTTTACAGTGTTCATTTGAAGAACTTTGAGTATATGGTCAGTTCTCAGTCGTTCCAGGGTATTTCGAAGGTTTTGGGAGCTGATACATACTGATACAACTTTCAGCATTCTAGGATATGGTCAGTATATAGGAGTTTTCAATTGGCTTGATATGAGGATTGATACACACTGCATTCACAAAGATTCTGTTCACGGTTGAAAGTATTGTTCAGTTGGCTTCGCAAAGCTTCACCCACTTGGTGCGGAGGAACCTTCTTGCAGTGCACCTTGCAGCTCCATACGCTTGTTGCAAACGGCTGGGAGCATTTCAAATAGGCCCTCCGAGAGGCTTTGAGCACGGCCTGAGTGTTCTGCGATGAATTGGCTACGCTATTCTCTTAAAATTTTGTTGTATACGATGCATATGCAATAATATCAGCAGCCTATTTCAACCTGGCCGACCTGGCGTAAACAACACATCATAAGTATAGCGTCTGGGCACGGCACCTGTATCAAAAAGTGGCCAAACCTCTTTCTGAGCAGGACCAGAGTGTCCAGAACCAAATCGATACGCTGCCACTGCATTCTCAGCACCTAGTCAAGCACATGACCTGCTGGGGGTAAAACTCAACTTAAACTTACATAATCTATCACAATCTGCAAAGATACACGACACTCCCAAAACTCACGCTTCATACTTGACTAATGTCTTCGCCGATTGCCGACATGACGCTTTTCAACGCCCAAGGATAGTCTTCACGCAGGCCACGCCAAGATTCGATGAGAGCAAAGCCATGACAAATGGCCCAGGCCTCAGCAAAGGAACAACAGCTGCTATCATCCCCACCTCCTTTTACTCAAGGTATGAACAAACATGCACTGGTCTCAAGAGGATATTGAAATTGCGCCCTTGAAAACCATCTACTTGTGGCTTCCAAGCATCAAGTTTCAGGTTAGATAGATTAGGCTTTATGCGCATGAGGGTGCCTGCCCAAACCCTGATGTTGTCCCCTAGTACAGTAAGAGCTCTGTTTTGCCACACTCGTCTGGTTTTGGTTGGTTTCTTAGTAACCTTTCAAACTTCCTATTTGCTACTCTGATGGACAAGAATCAACTTTGATTTGATACGGATTTAAGACACACCTTTCCTAGGATTTTCGGTTGTGACACGGTTCCCAGGGGCCGGTGCAATTGGGACCCCCTATTACTACGAAGTCTTTTTTGCAACCCTCGTTTGGTTTTGCAGTTGGTATTCTAATGGCGCCCTTTATCACATGTTATGGACATATTGCAGGCAAAGAATTGATGTAAGAATAATTGAACACAACACCTCCTCCAGTTGTTTTACCGCTTGCACTTGTTAAACAAACACACTTCCCTATATATAGATGTTCTTACATGCTTTTACCATGGGGGATAGGGATCCCATTGACTCCGTTGTTCTTTACACAGCAATGTAAAGTTGCCCTAAAATCTAGGAACCAAATCATTAGTGGGAGCTTTCTTGAAGAAGCGTGAGCTATCCTGCGTCCATACTAGTAGCTATGTAAGGTACTAGCTACCTAGCTTCTACTAGCTAGCTACTTCTGTATAGCTACTACCTCTACACGGCCGACCCCCCCAAGGAAAAACAAACACATTATATATGTTGATTGTTGGATACTCTGTTTTTTGATGTTTTTTTGGACCTGCATGGGGCCCATATCTTGCCAGGGAGCTCTGGCCTCAATCTCTATCATGAAGGAGTGAAGCCTTGCGGTTGCTGGTTTTGTCAGCCAAATCTCAAACACGAAAACACTTTGGAATAACATTCCAAATCCAGCAATATTGAGACATTTCAATCTCTTGTGTGGCAAAACTATCCCAACATTGAGATCACACTTTGTCTCTTATCAGGTAGTGCGCAGTCCTGGCAATCGCCACAGTGCTATCTTTCATGTCTTCATGCCGCGTTTGCTGCAGGAAATCATCGCACAGCAATCGCCTCAGTCAAACAATCTGTAATCACGTCTTGGCCTGTGTTCTGCTAAACTTATTAGTAGCGATGCACTTGTTACTAGTAGCTTCTTGTTACTACTAGTAAGGCACTTGTTACTAGTAGCGATGCACTTGTTCCTAATAGCTTCTTGTTACTAGATATAAACATGATTGCAAGACGAACCCAAATGCTCATGCTCACCAAGCCCACCAACTGTGAAAGACTGGGTATGATCCGCACGGAACGTTTTTTGTCCTTCAGCACATGTTGCGCTTCCACTGCAAGAGTATGGCAGGCAACATGTCCTTTCTGAGAGGCTTGGTTGTCTCGCAGGAGAGGCAAAACTGTATGACAAGTATACTTTCTATGCATCCAGTTGTAAACCAGTCACGCCTGTTGCCTGTTGCCGTTTCAGATTGTAACGACCGGAGTCAATTACTTTTTGAGCTAGCTTTCCCCAGACATTGATCAAACACTATTGAGAATTCTTGTCCACAGACTCCACTGACAAACCTGCCTCGTAAGCTCTGATCCGACGGAGCTCCGCTTGACCTCGACCAAGACAAAGGGCCCAGGGAGGTGGGAAGTCACTACTAGGAAGCTACTAGGAACAAGTGCATCGCTACTAGTAACAAGTGCCTTACTAGTAGTAACAAGAAGCTACTAGGAACAAGTGCCTTACTAGTAGTAACAGTTTCAAAGTGTTACACACTTTTGTAACTAAAAAAGCCCGGGGGGTAGGCCGAGAAGAGGGAGGTAGGTTAGCTAGCTAGGTAGCTAGTAGTAGCTAGGTACCTAGTAGTTACAAGAGCACTACTACCTAGGACGCAGGATAGCTCACGCTTCTTCAAGGAAGCTGGGGGGAGCTTCCTTGAAGAAGCGCTCGGACTATTCATGTGGTTTCTAGATTCTTAGGGAAACTTAAGCAGTAGCGATAGCCCTGTCACCAAGCGATTGAAGTGGATCAATCCTTTCGAACAAACACAAAATGCGGGAGGCAAAGCCAGTGAAAATCCCGGTATTGTAACTCCTCGTTGTGGCCTCGCAGAGCTGGCTGAGTTGAATTCGCTGAAGGTATTCCGGACCAAAAGGAACTTCCTTGGTGTCAAAGTCTGACTATTCGCGCGCTAAAAAGAAATGATAAACATCAATGACATGTCATATGATTCATATCTATCAAGATAGATCTTGTAGAAGAAATCTCTTGAAGCCAACGCCTAAGACCAACAAGGTCCTTCGGAAATGTGACAACACCTTTCAATTGTATCCACCCGACTGAGTGAAAGGCTACTTTCAGAAAAAAAGCCGTGGGCTGAGTCATCCTCGAAGCTTGAAGTCCATCGGCCCAGTACGCGGATACGTGAGGCTGCCCTGCAGCTTTCAAGAGAACACGTACCACCTACCTTTCTGTGACTACTCAGCACAATCCATTCCTCTTGAACCAACTCACTCAGATCCTACTTTCAAGAACTTGAATGTCAGGCAAAAATTCAGGCATGTACTGACAATAGCTGTAAAATATACAGTGGCTGACAAAACAAAAAAGGTGCGTAAGCTGGGTATGTGCCAACCTCTTGGCCAAATTGACTTCAAAGGCAAAGTCGTCGAAAGGCTGAAGCGGCAGAGGGGAAGCCCTAGGAGAGCCAACTTCTGAATATAAGTTTCTGAGAAAGCAAAGTTGCAATCAGCAAATATGAACACCTAGTATTAACAAGTTGGCTCTCGTATCGTGCCCTTGCCAGGACAGCGTCAATATGATATACTTGAGCAATGCCGACGACAAAGACCCTGGCTCCCAAACACTTCAACTGCCCTACACTGGTTCCAATGAGAAATTGCAAAAGACCTAAGGATGGAGTTGAGCAAACAAAGGTAGAAGCAACTTTGAGGTCTTTAAGACTGTGGCGACAGCAGTCCTCTGCAGCACAACCGGCACAACCCACAACAAAATCCGTATCGTAAGCCATCTTATCTCTACAGCCTTGATTGTGCCCCAGGCACTTGTCTCCCCTGCAGAGTGGTCGCAAACCAAGAGAGCAGGAGTGGCGCTCCACATCCCTTGGCTTGGACAAACTTTAGAACATGGTCCTCTCAGTAGAAATGCCAGGAGGAAACAACTGTGACATGTTCAAAGGCAAGCCAGGCAAGCTCTTCAACTTGGCTTAAGTTTCCCTAAACTAAACATCTAGGAACCAAATGCACAGCGTGAGCTATCCTGCGTCCAGTAGTTAGTAGCTTAAGTAAGTACTAGCTACCTCTACGGCCTACCCCCCTTTAAAAAAATGGGTCATCCCCGCTCTCTGCACGAAGGCACTTTGCACCATGCCGGAGAGCTTCGGAAGAAAATGTACAGTCTTGCCTAGAAAGAAACGGCACATGTTTGTTGTCAGGCGAAGAAACGGCATCAGCAAAACCAAGGTGGCCACGCGAATACGATTGCACGTAGCTCAAAGGAATACATGTAAAGAATAGTAACTCATAGACGTAGGCTCCCAATGCCCTGAGAAGTCTTCGTCTGAGGGCCTGGCCGTATGAATTCCTGCCACTCCAAAAGGATGGGATCTGGCATTGGCAAGTCTTCCTGCATCGTAAAGAAGTCCCATGAAGTCTTTAACTCTAACATACGAGTTGTTCATTATAAAGAACTTCCCACCCCAACCACAAAGGCATCATGCGGGTGTGTCCCAGCAGACTGAACAAGGCGGTCGGCTCAAGGCAGTAATTGTCAAACATCGGTTCAAAAGCAATGGCTTTGCATGGCACAAAGAGTGCTGTGATTCGCTGTTACTGCCTCATGAGCCGTTTGGTTGAAAAGAACATGTTTGGTTCAATGCTGCGTGGTGAAACGCGCAAACTAGTTGAGCTCTTAGGCCTTCTGTAGGGAGCCAGGATCTCCATGCAACAGTGCCTACCAATAGAAAACAACTGTCTTGCATACCAAAAGCAGCTAAGGCTAATAATGTCTCACAAAAGATTGAGGCAAGAATCACGCCTGAATTCACTATCTCGATTCACCATCAAAGAAACGGCTCTCCAAGTGAGACTCAAAGAACACCATTTGTCAAGCCCCCACCGCCTAGGGCCTTGTCCAATGCAGCCGCCACTTTTTCAGGCGGCGCATCGAGCACCAAGCGCACGGCGAGCAGTTCTTTGGCCATGCAATAGCTCACATTGCCCGAAAAGCAGGCGCTCAAAGTTCAAACACTGTAATGTTATCTAATTATATATATAATTATGTTAAATGTATCAAATTGTAATGTCTTGTAGTTAATTTGTTACCATGCGTTGTGCGTCTTTCCTCTTCAAATTATGCATCGGTTTTACTTACGTATCATGTGATTCCAGCATGCTCTGGCCTTTGCCCTTTGACCTTCTACTAAACCAACACCGACACCCGTCTTGATAACTGCCAAAAAATGAAACAGCGTACACTGATGCACATCCACCACCTGAAAGTGTCTCAATCTGCATGTTTTTCCCAATAGCTTCAGCTTTGGTCTACCAGAGGTGGAGGTTGTTCACGGGCGGAGCGATCTGTGCCTGCAGCTTGGATGAATGTTTACTGCAACAGCAAGTATCCCATTCTCATGTTATATGAATAATTCTGAATAATTCGATGTAAGACGGCGTAGCAAGCGCCAAAAGCTTACTCAATAGTTCCCTCCTCGCCTGTTGTGCTAGTAGCCAGGATGGCGGCCGCAGCAGCTCCGTCGCCGGCAAAGAAAGGTCTGCCATGCTAATACTCACCAGAGCAGCGTGAGTGTTGCAATGCTCAAGAAAGCTTCTAACTAATTTTCAAACGTGGGCAACAATGACGAATCCTCGAAGCGAATGCATGCCCTTGGGCCGGTGGGTTGTGAAGACTTGGCTGAGGGCTTCGCATTTGCACACAGCGGCCAGCAACTGCTCTGGAAGGCGCCAGTCCAACGTCTCAGTGAGCAAGTCTTGCAGTCTCTATTGAATTATTGTTTCTATATTAATAGCTTCTTGCTCCTAGTAGTAAGGCCAGGAGCCCCTAGTAGCGTCCTTGTTCCTAGTAATTAGCGATGCCCTTTGCTCCTAGTAGCGTCTTTGCTCCATGAAAAAACATGGAAAGAAGGCTTCGGGTAAATGAGCTCAAGTGACGGAACATTCCGTTAGCGGCATTAGAACATAACCGAAGAAGTTGCAGCATGACGCAATCTTCAAGTGCAAAGACATGTTGCCCAGTGGCTTCGTTGGTAAAGGCACAAATGCAGCACACACCTGGGAAATTAAAAGGCAATTTGATTCAAGCAAATCTGGTTGGCAAAGTTCGGGCCAGGCTGGACCGTTTGAAACACGCCCACTTTGCAGGGTGTTGCACCTGGTGCCACCCGTGATGGAGGTTTGAAGGCCGAGGGTGAAGATGGTTCCGCAGCCACCTGGTCCCCAGCAGTTGCATCAATTTGCATCATGGCAGTATATCCGGTCACGCGCAATGACAAGTCTATACAATAACAAGTTGCCTCCAAAAGCGGGCGGGCCAAACCACTGCCGCGCAGAAGGTTCCGTGCAGCATTGGCTGTGCCAGGCGCATCACCTAGCTCGGCATCACCTGGTGGATTGTTGCGTTTGCTAGATGGCTAGATGTACACTTTTTGATTTCAGGCAATGGACATGAATGAAACATGGCAAGACCGACTACGTGTATCTTGCCGTCATCAGTACCCCAACAAGCAAGCGTTTCGGGAGCCAACACGTAGGAAAGGGTCAAGTCCACGAAACAATGCTACTCTTGTATGTGGCTAGCGTTAGCGGGCTCGCTGCTGCTGTCATGGCACTGAGGCTATGCCCCAAAGGCAGCAGCTCTGGCCATTCGTTGATCCCGGCACCAAGTGCGCGCAATGGCGAAGGCTCGGAGAGGTCGGCATCACCCTTGACCTTACAAAATATTCCAAAACTCATTCTTCGATCTAGAATTCTTTCAACTTTTAAATAACGTTGCTTTATTCATAGCAGGAAAATTGAGGAGTAGCAGTAGCTTTCTAGGAAGCTAATGAACTCACTTACTGTATATAACTCATAACTCATAACATCTCATAACTGATCATAACTCATAACTTGCTTGAAGGAAGCAAGGGTTCTTCAAGGAAGCTTCTACCTTTGAAGAGTCCTTGCTTTCACTTTCATGTGCAAAACAATGTGTTTCCTGCGTCACCTGTGTATGTGTTTCTTTTCCCCATTTGTATCATATCAACGTGCTTCTTCACGTTGTTCTTGTCAATCTGTTTGTTTCGTGTAAACTTTAAGGTAAAACTAACGTACTTCCAATGCGTACACCATGTAGCCGCATATGTGGCTAGCAAACCTCCTTGCAAAAAGCTGAGCACCGTACATGGGCTGAGCAGGATGCCAACACCAAGAACTTGGCTACCTGATAAACTCGGCCACGCAATTGGGTCAGGGTTTGTTGGCAATTTTAGTAGGCGTAGCCACTCCTTATCCGCAGCCAATCTTGCCAAATAGTAGTTATACAACAACTTCTTGTGTACACGTTACAAGGTCCTGTTTCAAACATCGTGTTACCCTCTTCAAGGTATCCGTTTGAGCAGCGACATTCTAGCCTTTGTTGGTAGAACTAGGGAACATGTTGATCTCAAGTGGTAGTCTTCGATTCAACACTTGACCACATGCGGTCTCCGCTCAGATGCGGACTCCGGCATCCTTGGCCCACCGCAGCAACTCCTAACAGCATCAACATGAACGACAAAGCAATGACCGACGACCTTGGCGTGCCCTCACGAACGGCTTTTGTAAATATAAAACTATAAAACGAAACCAAATACCAAGAATGTTCATTATATAAAAAACAATCCAATCCTCGATTGGAGAACCAGTTTGCAAAGCCACCGACCATGGGGTACCACTGGCGTCATGGGTCTCTTTCTCTCTCCTGCGCCACGGCCCAGCGTCTTCCCTCCACTGCACAAGAGCGTAGCTGCAGCACACTCAGGGTGGAAGCACCATTTACAGCCTCCCATTTCAAGCTCAATTCAGAACAGTTCAATGAACACTAGTCACTGGTGCGTGACTGGCACCCTGCTTTTGAAGCCTTTGGCAAGCCCGCAACCAAAGAACATCGAATGCCTCGAATCTGCTTTAGCCAAAGCGGAATGAGAACAGGTCAATGCTGGTCCAGTCAAGTTCAAGCATTCATCCTTGCGAAACTGCCGGAAAAATATACAGTGAATCCGATCTCAGCCCGAGCACGGAGGAAAAGAAGAGAAACGGGTAGAAAGTGAGAAGGTGGAGGCCCAAGTAGGGAACAAAGACTAAGGAAAACTAGGGGAAAATTATAGGACCGGATAGCCCCACATGTTAACAACTTCATTGGACACAGGAGCGGACAATTGGTGGTTGGTGGGTGACAATTGGTATACATAATATTTGTATACTGTAGTAATATAATCTATAATGTAATAACATCATGTACAATAGTAATATTATATACCGCATTATAACACTATATTAAATAACAGAAACTGAAAAATGACTGCCTGGTAGATCTCTGCTGCTGTGGTGAGCGCTGGAGTTTTAGCGTCAAAAGCATTCACCATCGCCACAGGCAAAAGGTGCTTGCTCTCTACCTGATATCAATCAATGCACTCTGCGTGAAATCCATACTTCAGGGTTCGGAAGTTGGGACTCAGTTTGTCTGCGAAACGCGCAAATGTTGGCGGGCTTGGCTGATGCGAACATGGGCCAAGCTTGAAGCCGTTTTATTGGTTCCAGGTACAAATGAAATCTGAATTCTGTATCCGATTATATAAGTCAAGCCGCATAGACTGAACATATGCGGGGAACGAAATGAAACAAAAGCCAGTAGAAGTAAGCATTCAGGTTCTGATGGGTGTACCACTTTTAAGTTAAATTAAGCTGTCATGTAGCAAACGAGACACATGTCTGGACCATTTTAACATTGACGTGCATGGTTTTCGATCCAAGAGATGCTGCTCTTGTGTCTATCTTGCGCATCCACCTTGCTGACGCAAACAAGAGATGCAACAAACATGTTCTCTCTTTCTCTCTATTTACCTCGCTAAACAATGCTGAAAGGACTACGACACTACGACTTGAATTTTCTGCATCACCAACTCACCCTAGAATTGCCTTGACCAGAAACCAAAAGCACTATTACTGTACTTTCAATTGGTACGCTCTGCCCTCCAACCTAGATAACTCACTTGGTTCGCAGAAACTAACTTCAGCGTTGGCTGAGAGATCCATCAATCACCTGTACGATACTGTACGCAAATATTGACATTCAATGACATTCATTGAACGAAAAACACAATCAAACCAGGGTCAATCAAAGTGAACTACAGTGAGATTTGGTAGATTTATATAGACTGATGACTTGTGCAATGTGTGGCTGTCTGAAACGTGAGGAAGACACGCTGAGGTGCACCCTTCAATTACTTGCCTCATTAATACACTGTTGTGACAGTTGTGCACTTTTGCCGCCCTTTAAACATGCTCTACCAAGCCATAGAGCTACCCTTTGCACCTGAACCCTGCCATGATGAGACTTCATTCCATCCTTGTCCGGTTTGAAAGGGACACTCTGCCACAAAATCTGAGCCGGCAAAAAAACAAATCTCAAGTATGTTGATGCACTCCAGTATTTACAGTAGTTGGTTCTTTTGCGAGGTGCAATGGCGACACGCTGAAGGCCATATCTGGTGATCAGCGCATCCGTGCAAAGCTCTCCCAAGTTGGCAATGCCTGCGGCTCTGCGAGCAAGTGAGCGGATACATGATACAAGTAGAGGGGACAGAAGGCCACGCCATTGTTGTTGTTGCTGTTGTTGCAAGAATGGGCCTTTGACTTCCAACGACAAAAACGCCATTATATATAAGCCACACAAAGATATCGACATGATGTGGAAGAGGACCTTGTTTGAAGTGTTGAGAACATGAAGGGCTTGCAGCATACGTGTTCAAACAGCAGAACTGCTACAGTTTCATGCTTCCACACCTCCAGCACCAGGCAGAACGATGGTCTGACCCGTGAAGTCAGGTGCTGGATCGATGCAGGGCGTCTCAGCGTGCCCAAGAGAAAGTTACAGTATTGTTTTCTCCTTTGAGCGGGGTATTTGTAGTGGAAGGTAGAATAAAAGCCAAATAGGAGGTAACATAAGATGGAGAATAGCGGCAAATAAGTAGCCAGCTAGTTGTCGTAGTCGTCGTCGTAGTTGTCTCTGTCATTGTCTTTGTCGTCGTCATTGTTGTCGTCATCGTAGTAGTGGCAGTCATAGCCGTAGCCGTAGTGGTAGTAGTAGTAGTAGTAGTCGTGGTGCTGGTGGTGGTGGGAGTGGTGAGACTAGTGTACTGAGCACCTAACGAAACTTCTCCCGCCCAAGGAAGCGGGGACGTCTCCTTAAACCCCTCGCATGGTTGAAACGGTTCCTAGGGAAATACGCTTGTTCAGAATATGCAGTATAATACAGAAATTATAATGGGAAAGTTGCATTTTATTGGTGATGTCATCAGAAATGCAGCTGAGCGACCACCTTCATTGCTCTCGAACAATGCCAAACCCGCGGGCAGACACACAAACCCTAGAAGTGTGACACTGATGCTGTATCGTTGAGTACTCAGCTGTTTCACGAAAGGTAAAGCTCTGTTGCATCAGCCATAGTCTCTTGAAAAGCTTGTGCTGCAATGCTACGATTTATTTTCAGCTTGTCTACCCGCTGTGTATTCCTCTGCACGTTGTCCAATAGCTCGAGCAGTCAGCTTCCAGCAAGAAATATGAAGGCAGTAGTATATCCATGTATATCCTGTTTGAACATGCTTGATATGATTGCTTAGCTTTTCAAGCTGTAGCACAGCCCATGCATGCGCACACTTTCTTTGCGTAGCTCCGCAAGGAAGGGATTCCAAGCCGCCGTTCAATTGAAGGCTTCGCCTTCAACTCACTCAACATCTCTACGCCATATATAAATTTGGCAAGCTTATTGGTGCAACACAGGCCATGCGTAGATTTGAGGCTATCGGAAAATATTGAAGTCTTGCACGCACCAAAAAGCTGAGATACAAATTGTGCTTTCCTTGATTCTACTCCTTCTGTTTCTCCAAAGACTCATCAAGGTTGAACTTGAGCTTTTTGACTTGCTTCAGCTCCTCCTGGCAAAGCCAAGTGTGTCTAACAACAACAACAACAACAACAACAACACTATTTGAAAAACCACGTCCAAAGGTGACTGATCCCATAGTTGAACTACTCAATTGTTTGAGGCCTAAAATGCCATACTCATTGTAACCAAGACTGCCCAAATTGTCCCTTTAGATCACCAGCACGCGACCAATTCCAACCATTCCGCAGCCTGTCGTTTTCCTTAGGACAATAGTAACTAACAACAATTTCAATGCTGCTGATGGAAATTCACCCGATCAAGAGTTCATAAGATTGTCGGTGCGACGGAACCTCTAAATTATGGTCAAAGCTTGGCAAAGCTAGCACCTCGTTCATGAAAGGAAGGTGACTCTCATCAAGTATCTCTACACCCAAATGCTTTAACCTGTGATTCTCTCTCAGTCACTTGGAGCGATGCATCAAAGGAGTGCTTTCATCACCTTTCTTGACCTCAAAAAACTGAAGGTTGCTCTCCAAAGGGAGCATGACTCCATCGCTTGTAAGTTGGAGGGCCATCGCTAGTAGGTTGGAGGCCATCGCTATCAAGTTGGAGGCCATGACTCCATCATACAACTTCCTACCTACAGTGCTCCAACTTCTCTCACAGCATCATATCAAGTCCCATCTTGCAGGTTTCGAGTGCTTGAGTGTCCAACACCCAGAAAATCCAAGAAGAAGTAGCCGCAAATTATGCCTATCACAATGAAGAAACAAGTTCAATGAAGCACATACAATACAGCAACACTTATGAGTATTACTTATGAGTATTCAAATTGCCACATGAAGTCAGGTTGACCCTAGAGATACTCAGGGTTTGGATGGTATGGCCTCTTATAATCCGCTAATCCGCTATCAGTTTGGCAGGTCACAGCTGCTTACCCAAGAGTGTTCTTCGACAGGTTTCTGGTGTGTCTGGTGCTCCCTGTACAGCAGATCGCCATGGTCACATGATTGGAGCTTCGAAAGCAACACAGCAGTCAACTCCCACTGGAAACCTGCCCATGGGAGGTTAAGCTTCTGTTGAAAACATGTTAGTACAAACAGCCAGCGGAATCCGCAAACGACCAGGAACATTGTCATGACTCATTGTGCTTAGAATTGCGAGATACCGACCTGAAGTAGCCAATGGGACCCTGACAGGGGTCCTCAGTTCACGTTGCATATGTCACATGTCCGCTTTCACACACAAACACACACACACATTCAAAAATAGGAATCTCCTATAATCTCCTCACGCATATTGGTGGAGCCGTTGACATCATCTAGACCAATTAGTCGCAGGGCAATGCTGATTTTCATAAGTCAGGTTGCTGGTTCGGGAAAAAGCACTATATTTTGCATATATACTGTATATAGAGAGATGGGTTTAGTTTTGTGCGACATGAATATGACATAAACAACTTAGACATAGAAAAAGTGTTAGGGATGTTGGTTGTCTGCTCTGGTATATGTCGGAGATTCTGAAGACCTAGTCTAGGGTTGTCGGCTTAACTACGAAGAAATACCAATGCACACTCTCCTTGGGGCAAGCAACAAAGTAACTTACAATCAATCTGCTTAGGGGTCACATAGAGTCAGCAGCCTAGCTGGCCAGAGTTGAGAGGAACAATCATTAGCGTTGGAGCCTGAGCTTGAATTATCAAAAACACATGATGAAGAATTCAATCGAAGTATTTCATACAAACATGTACATTTGATTTGGGAAGTGAGGGGCACTCGCAGAAAATGTAAGTTGAACAATTTGTAGCTCGAAACACATGGAACTATATATATATATATCCAAAAATTAAAATAGTGACTTAGTGAACACTCGCAGAAAATGCACGGCAACAAAACTAGTTCCAGAAGAATAATCTATAATTATATATTGTTGAACGGTGATAAGGTAAAAATAAATAGCTCAAAAAATGAAACTATACTCCAAGGCGAAGAACACTCGCAGAAAATGCACGGGGAAACAATATAGTTTCAACAACAAAGCAACTAGATTTCGGAAGGTGATGAAGACTAGTAGAAAATGCCGGGTTGAAAAAATAGTTTCAAAAATGGAACTATATTTTGGAAAACTGTGAACACTTGCAAAAAATACGAGGTGACAAAAAGGTACCAACAACTATACTTCGGAAGGTTATGAAAACTTGCAGAACATGCATGGTGGAACAGTTATAGTTCCAGGTGAACAATCAAGGTGATGTGTCGGAAGGTGATGAAAGCTCGCAGGAAATGCAAGATGGACAATATGTCAAAAAGGAAACAATATTTTTGTCAGAATTTGGTGGGGTATGATTATATAAAGCTTTTTGCTACAGTAGCATTTGAAGGCAACATGCATGCCTTATGCCCGGCAGAAACGTGATTTTAGATGATTTTACGGGTATTACTGAATGTCATGCATGTTGCCTTCAAATGCTAGCAAAAAGCTTGAAATATACCCGACTAGATTATGAACACAATCTCTTTGGAATACTTTCTTCACCTTGCATTTTCTGCGAGCTTTATCACTGTCCAAAATATGTTTTATTGAAAATATATGTCCGGTATACGGCTTTGATTCCGTTGTGTGCGTGAGTCGGTGACCTTCGAAGTTGTTTTCGGATAACGCCCCACCGAGGCATCGCGGACTGTCCTGTTTTTGGGACTAGATGTGCTTTTTTGTTGGCCTCGATACCGCCCCGCGTTTCGGAATATGTGTGCTTTTGATGTTCACTTAATCAGTTTTTTTTGCATTTCGGAACATCATCAGCTTTTTAATATTGCCATTGGCTTCACAACATTGTCATTGGGATTCATTGTTATCGAAGAGCCGGAGAAGAGACACGTATCTTGGAGGGTGCGTCAACAAGGCAAATGTATGATGTTCTTCTAAAGTATGATGCAAGTGGTGTGATGTTGATGTGACGACGAAAGCTTGTTTTTGGAGGCACGTAGGTATCTAGCCTTAGTGTTTCGTGCACTTTCTGAGGTTTTTCAGGTTTATCAGGGGGGTGGGGGGTTAATAACGTACGTTGTAGATGCTAGGATGGTGTGTTCCCCCAAAATGTTAGTTCTCCACAAAGGTCATTCCTCTTAATGCATTCACATACACGAACTGCTAAAAATAGGCTTTGCTCCAGGGAGTCACACTTTTGTGACCTGTTGGAACGCGGTGACAGATCAGGACAGGTGGTCGGTGAACTTTCAAGCATTGGAACAGCATTTTGGTTCATTCTTTGGCAGACCAGATATGAAGAATTTCTGCGGGTCCGTCAAAGGATGTCGGCGACAATGGCTGCATGTCTCTGCTTACTATACTACATGTTTTTCTGCCAAACAACAGCTGTCTGCAAGGTATTACGAGATCCGCCGGTCCCCCCAAAACACGTCCCTACTATTTATTTGTCCTTCAAAATCTTGTTTTGGGTGGGTGGGTGGGGGGGCTGGTGGTTTCGTTCTTCTGTGTTACTGGGTTGTAGCACGTTGCACACACGGTTTGGGTATGTTTGGGTGTTGGATTGTTGCTGCATGCAAAAACGGTAAACGTGTTGTCAGAAAGGGGTTGGGTGGGAGAGGGGTGGGATAATTACGTTCATGTTGCAGCTTGCACACCTGGTTTAGGTATTTGATTGATGCATATTGATGCTATATGCAAAATACGCGTTGCAAATGTAACAAGGGTCGTGCAGCACGCAGCAAGCAACACAGTGTCGTACATCGCAAAATTGGAACTCAAACAGCTGATGATTGCTGGAAACGATAAACAAGGACGCTACTAGGAGCAAAGGGCATCGCTACTAGGAGCAAGGACGCTACTAGGGGCTCCTGGCCTCACTACTGTTACTACGAACAAGAAGCTACTAGGGGCTCCTGGCTAGCACTCACAAGTTCAACCGCTCTGTGAATCCGCAGCTGATACAATATGTGGGCAAGCTGGCAGTACAGAAATCTTACAACACATTCTCCGGTGAAACACTTGGCAAAAGCGTTGTTCAGCGTCAAGAAAAAGTGATGAACAAACTTGAGATGGAAATCTACGTTTGAAGCTCCATTTTAAGAAACGATACGACACATGTTGACCTTCAAAACATGCGACGCCTGAGTGGGGTCGGCCCTTATTTGTGTTTACCTTGCATCTTTCGCGAGTGTTCATCACCTTCAGAAAACACTTGCTTTTGAACTTTGAACAATTGTTTTGTTCACATTGCATTTTCTGCGATTGTTTCAAGATGAATCTATTTTTGTTTGCGTGCACTGCGAGCCATACTATATGTATACAGGTTGTTTTTTCGACTATGACTACACTTTTATACTTTTGCACCTTATGGAGGCTTCTAACACAGGCAACCTGTAAGGTTCCACTGTTCCACTGTAAGTCAAAGATGAGCTCTCAAGACCGCTTCCAAGCAGCCCGCTTCATGTTAGGTGGCACACAGCAAGAAACAGTAGAACTCCCAAGGGAAGCTGCAGAACCCCCACTCTAACCTACAGTAATCCCAACAGATCCTGCATTTTTCCTTTCTATTTACCTTCCAAAACCCACCCCACATCTGGAGCATTTTTTCCACATCTATCTGGCACACCAGTTAGGGTCTCTGCCCTCTGATTCAGCCAGCACCTGGCAGGGAATCCACCAAGCAAATGTCACAATGTGCTCTGCCCCCAAACAAACAAATACCTAAACTTAAACTCTTTCTTAACTCTGACCACCCTTGGTGGAAAACAATTGCAAACACATTTCTAGCTTCAAGAAACAATCACACATCCTTGCACCAGTGGTAGCCAATCACCCATTGGCTTTGGACAAAAGTCCACAAGGCCCATCATCAATCCAGCAGAAGCTCTGGTGAGTGCTCACCCACACTGGCTCCACAAGGCTTTTTGGAAGCCTTTTGTCTGGTTTTTTCTCACTTGATCCAGCGCAGGGAACCAAGCCAGGGGCATGGTATCACCCAAGGCACTTTACACTAAGAAAGGGGCATGGCATCACCCAAGGCATTTTCACTAAGCAAGGGGCATGGAAGCACCCAGCACTTGCACAAAGCAAGGTAGCATGGCCTTGCCACATCCTGGTGCTGAGGTTGCTGGATGATGTGCTGGGGCTGCTGGATCTGCATCCCTTGGTTTGGCATCTGCTGGGTCTGCACTCCTGGGTATGCCATTTGCTGGGCCTGGTGCTGAGGCTGCTGGATGTGCTGGATGAGCCCAGGCTGCTGGGTTTGCAATCCTTGGTTTGCTATCTGCTGGACCTGGCCCTGCTTCCCCAGCAGCTGGGTTTGTGCTGGGGCTTGCGCTTCCTTGGGCCTGCTGCCATGTTCCCACTGGATGGTTGTTTGTTGTGGCTGCTTTGGTTGGCTGGGTTTGATGCATGGCTCCTGCCCGGCTGCTTTGGTTGGCTGGGTTTGATGCATGGCTCCTGCCCCAAGATCATAGTTGCCTGACAGTGACTCAGTGAGTGAGTGAGTGAGTGGTTCATGGTTGACAGTCACTACTACTGAGTAGACTGCGACAATCATTCACCCTGGAATCATTGATTGGTGATTGAATGGTGTAACAGAGTGTAAGACGCCATTGCCCAATTATGATGATTCCTTATTATTACTTATGCATTTTTGATTCCTTTTTAACATGTAACAATGTAGTTATGTTATTTCTGAGTAGAGTCTACTGCCTGAGAATCAGTAGTCTCAGAGTCAGCCACAGATGATGCTGCATTGCCAGCTGAAGTTGATCCAGTGCCACTGCTGAAGGTCACACCACCTGAGTTGAATTAAGTAGTAAATAGGTATTAATATAGTCCATAGTAGTACATTGGTATTAATATAGTCCAGTACATTCACAATGACACTTTCACAAGGTTGTAGCCTAGACTTTGAATGATGGCTCCCAGCCACTAATCACTCTGATACTACACTACTTCCCAACTAATAGTGAATTGCCCAGAAACTCTTGTTGGGCACTTGCTTCATCAAGTTCAGCATCTGAAGCCTTTGCCAATGATCCTGAGGCATGCCTGAGATGAGATGCATGTTGCTTCCAGTCAGTACTGGAAGATATGCAACTGAAACCATGAAAGCAATTACTTAAGCATGACCTACATGACACACCCAACCAAACAGCTACCTATCAGTCACTGGCATGATTTCAATCCCAGGTGCCAGTGCAGCAAAGATCCACATAGTCCTTGGCCCACTGCGCAGACCCCCTGTTGAGCAAAGCCTCAACCACACACACTCAGGCCCAAACCACAAACCATGAACTCCCTCACTCAGTCAGTGTGACAGCCTACCTCAAACTTACTAATGATTGCTGATGCCAGCAGGTTGTCAGCCAGTCAGTCAATCAGAAGAGTCTGCCAGTTCAGAGTCTGCCAGTTTAGATTTATATCATCATAGATTTTAGATGCCAGTCCATCATGAGTGCCAAGCCACCAAAAGCCCCCACCACTCTTGGCACCCATCCTCCTTGGAGAAGAGCAAGTCAGTCTTGAAGGTGATCCTAGGTTTCACCAAGGCACCACATGAAACAAAAGTGACACCTTGTGAGTCAGTACCCTTGAAGACCACCAAGGAACCTCATGATCACCTGACACTCAGCCACTGTCTCATCAGACCACCCACACCCAGGTAACCAACCTCTTTGACTCTGCCCACCTCAGGCCCTGCAACCCAGGCACTCCTGTGAAAAAGGAGTGGGGCTAATCTGCAGCATGTATGTTGACCCCCTGTACACAGATTGCACTGGTGCACCAGAGGGGGCCACCACCATAGTCCTGCCTGTAGCCAACATAGTGACTGACAGTTCACCATTTTTCCTGAGTCAGCAGTACAGGCACAGCCGCCACATCCCATGAAACACCTCACAGGCAAGTGTGGTTACTTATATTATATCCACAGATTCCCATTGGGTTCAATTGAGACCCAAGTCATTTCACTGTCAAATGCCTGACTTTGAAACAAGACACCCCAAGCTCACCCTGTATGGTGGCTGCCTGTTGGCAAGGTCAGGTTCAGCAGCTTCTGGAACGACTGTGCTGGGCAGTGCCTCATCCCTTGGGTTGGAGCATGCTCAAACAACTGAACCACAACTTCCTGCTACTGATCGTCAGACTTCAGACTGTCAGAACAACTCAACTGTTGCCAGTCAAACAGCCAGGCAGCATCTTTTTCTTGAAAAGATTGTTCCACCCCAGTGCACAGGCAATTTCATTGGTGTTGCTCAGATCCACCTAATCAATTTCAGGCTGGAACCAACCCCAAGCATCATTATCACAGTCACAGAATTGCCAGAGCTAGTCAGTCACCACATTGACTGCATGTTGCGCTAGTGCAATAATTCAATATTTCAATAGTTTCAATTGGCTAACTGAGAGTCCTGGCATTGATCCTGCTGCCCCTGCCAAACTCAGCTTGCTTCTGCACCCTGGCCCTGGAGTCCAGCAACACCTGCTTCCTTGGAGGCCAGTGAAGTGACAGTGTGCAGGCAGGCACTGAAGAAGAAGGCAAGCTTTATCCCACTCACAGCAGGATATCCAGCCCCTAGCCCATTGGCCCATGCTGACAACACTTCAAAGTGCAGCCTGGTGTCAACTGCCCTCTAGTTTTGCACAGCAGGTCCTTCAAAGATGTCCTTGGCCCAAGTCCAGTCTCCACATAGATCAACTGATCAAGTGCCTTCTCTTCCACAGTGGAGACTGTGCCTCAGCTGCACCAACAACCCAGGCCTACCCCAGTTAAGGCCAATGGTCACTGAGTGACTCATGAGGGGGTGGCTTTGCACATTCAATAGCACTGGAAAGCACTGGTGGCTGTGGCAACATTGTGACAGTACACTTTGGAGCCAGGCTGCAAGCAGGGTACCTTTCTGGGTCCATTGCACCCAGAAAGCGAACCTTGTACCTCCTGGGAACAGTGTTCTTTTTGGTTGGATCCCTTGTCCTTGCTCCAGTCTGCTCCCAGATGAACCCAATGCCTGCCAGGACTCCAACTGTCACTGAATGCATACTTTTTGGATTCCTGCTTTGCAATGTCATGTCATCTTGGCATAAATTACTCATTCAATCTTTCCCACAGGTGCCCTAGCTGCTGCCACTAGGTTTAGTGAATTCCTTTTTCCCTGACTTAAAGTACCCCCAATGCCTTGGGATCCTCCTCTGGTCCACAGCTTCAGGATCTATGTCTGATGATTCTGAGTCTGAATCATCTGAGCCTCAGAGTTCATAATCATAGAGTCCATCAGTAAAACCACACCTGTGTCACTTCTGGAATCAACTGTTCAAGTGTAACACTCATTCACAGTTGAGCAAACCAACACTCACTCCCAGAGTTACTTTCACAAATGTTGAAGTCTGAATGGACCAAGCTGCCAGAGTCTTTCTTGTTCTTCTTTTCCTTCTTAGACTTCTTTTTCTTGGTTGAAGCCTTTGATTTTCTCTTCTTCTGCTTCTTTTTGTCATTCCTGATGCCAGCACTCATTACACAGGATTCAACAGTAATTCTGGTATTACCCCCAACAATCTCTCTCTAGAGTGGCTCAACCATGTTTCTAGGATGAGGCCCTGGAGCTGTTGTGAAATCTCTACATGGTCTTAAGGTGTGACACTGTAGTCTATATGAGACAAGCCTCGAGCTGCTTGATTCATCAGGCTGCTCTTCATCATCATCTTCTTCCTCCCCCCAAGGGCCTTGGCCTGGTGGCGGTGGTCCAGTCATCCAAGAAGGCCCAGCCCATGGATTGCCATCTCTCACCATGGCCCATGGGTGCTGGTATCCCATAGGAAGGGAACATCGCCCTGCTACTCCCTTCCTTCTTTTATTTGGCATCTTGCCAAATCTCCTCTTGAGCCTGACTGGGCCTGCAAATTTCCCACAACACTCCCATGACACTCCCATCCTTTTCCCATGAACCTCATTCATAGGAAACTTGCAGGTTTTAGTAGGAAAACAGAAGGCTAGCACCCTGTGTGAAGCAGTACCCTTAGAAGCAGTTTCCAGTGCTCTTCTTAGAGTAAGGTTCCACTACTTGTCATGACTTTGTCGTGGCTTCCTCTAAGTGTGGTGGATACTGCATTGAGCTGACGCGAATGGGAGCCCAAGAAATCTAATTGATCAGGAATCATTGCGCGTAACACTTAACACACACACACATACCCTCAGAATATAGATCATTTTCTGCTGAGGTTCTCATACATAACCATACACCTATGACATTTAGAACAGGGCAAGCCAGAAACACAGGAACCTTCCAGTGGATCTGAAACTATCGCTGATAACTTTCTTGCCAGGGCATTGGGCATTCCTACTTGGAGGGGTTCACTTCAGAGCTACTTGAGGAGTGGGTCTCGGGAGTCTTGACATTGCCAAGAATCCTCTTGCCACACGCTGGCTGTTTGCAGGTGCAGTCACAGTCCGTGAAATGTGTAATTAGTTGGTTTCCGGACAGGCAAGAAAACGTTATAAAGTTATAAATATATATATATATATATCATATCTTAACATGCCTGCACCAGGTAGCTTGCGCGAACACTTGCCAACCAGCCCCAAACCCACCTGCAATGCCAGACAAGAGCACCCAAAAGAGGCCACCCCATCTCGGTGAGAAAATGGCGGCCGCAAGGAAACAGCCCAAAGCGCAGTTTGGAAGAACTTAACTGGATTGCAAACATTGGAAGATAATGGTACATGTAAAACAAAGCAACTATCAGCTTATCAGGCATCCTCACACAAAAGTCTCTCATCTCATACCATATACACGTGAATAATGTGAGCACATGCAAGATGCCAAGTGAACAGTGTGGTTGAAACAAACTTTCAGGAACCACACTTGCCCAAATCCATGTAGCCGTAGGTTGTGCCACTCCCGCTTAGCACCTTACATCAAGAAGGCACGCACAACGATTGGTGCATTTGCAAGTTGGCAACTTGAACCTGACAAGCTTGAGTGCACAGGTTTAGGAATCTCAACACACGCAACCAAAAAGTTGCCGCACTCTTCTGCAACCAATTGGACATCCGAGAAGGCTCTTAATTACATGCGAGGGTATTAGTATAGAGGTGAACCTGCTGCTGATCCACCTTCAATTCATGTTAGTGTTGATGATTCTTATTTGGATCTATGAACACTGCCTGCTTGGAACTCTGGACAAACAACAATTTCACCTGTTGCAAGTTGACTCCAAAAGCGTGCACACCGTGTGCGACTATCAGGTTTCATTGTTTGGCAAACTCAGGTCGTGCAGCCAAGTAGCAAAGAACAGGACAAGCACAGCCATAGCTAATGTCGGCAATGTAGTCGAGCTATTCTCCTGATTGGACTCCGCAGGTATTTAGAGTTAGAGCCCTTTCGCAACCTTTGTGCAGGAGGTTGTTCGTTGCCAGCACGAACTGTTCACATATTTGTGCATTGATATTAGGATTATCGGGCTGGTCAAGGCCCGCTTGGACGCCAGCTGGAGGGCTGGAAACAACACAACAAGAAAGTGCATCGCTGCGTTGCTGAAAGCGAAGGCATTGTGTCTTTACTCGCAACTTTGCAGGTGTGTCTGTGGGCTCGGAAAAACCCATGCCCGGAGTCTTGCGGCCAGGATTGAAGTTGAACGCAAATGCTCGTACATGTGGAAGCTGGAGAAATCTGCAAAGTCACTCTGAGGACTCCACCATGACAGTTCCACTGTAATAGAACCTAATGCACCAGCGATTCATTCCAACCCACACACACAAACACACACTTATGGATATGCATACGGAACTGAAAGCGGTGCCACACGCCAGCCTAAGTAAAAAACCTAAGGAAAACAGGGTGGGTAAAAAGAAGCGGTTCAAATCTCCACAAGTCCAAGGTCTCAGAATCTTCCAAAAGCTCCAAGGTTCCATATTGTAACCGCGAGACGATCGAGCGACACGGATGACGGAACGTGCAGAGTCTGCGGATGAAGAACCGTTGCAAAGGCGGGAGTGCTTGTTCTAGTTAAAAGCAGGGCCCAAGATGAAATGGCTCAGGTAAAACTGCAAGTACGTCTGGCTGATCAGGCCAGATATCCGCATGTGCTGTGGCCGCTTCGTTGGACCATCGCTCACAGCACATGGATGGTCCCCCTGCTGTAAAATCCAAAGCAAAAACCAAAGCAAAACAATCCGAAAGGATCCCTGTGATTCCAAAATTTACACACACACACACACGCCTCCCCGAGGGGAGGCAAAATTAAGGCTAGGACGAATGTGCAAATGTGCGCGCAGCAAGGACAAAAGGATGAAGACATGAGAAGGAAGACGACGGGACAAAAGTGTGTGTGGTTGCGATGAAAGAGAAACCAAATGCACAGGGACAACCGATGAAACCTCATTGTCGAAACCTGGGCGACCTGAAACCTGAGTTGGAAGTAGATGTGCGCGTACACACTAAGGCCCGGACCGTTGTACGCGCAAAAGAACGAAAGGAGTGAGATGAAAGGACATGAAGCAAGGGAAGACATGAAAAGAAAGAGGAAAAGAAGTGTGTGAAGGGGAAAGGATGAAAAGGGAACCAAATGGAGGGGACGGGAACCGATGAGCCCAGACCTCATTGCAACAACCTAGGAAGACCTGCCTCGTTGAGGTGTGTGAACGATGTATGTGCACCTAAGAGTCCGACAGGTTCCAATGAACCTCAAAAGTGCTTCGGTCGCTCTGACCACGTTGAGGCGTTAAGCCAGCTTGGACCGCTGCGGTCACGTAAAGGCATGAGCCAACTTGGAATTCCAAAGATGAGACAAACATCCCACTTCTTGAGGCATAAGCCATCTACTGTCCGCTGCGGACATCTGCGTTTCCAAAGCAAGGGAAACAGCGACAAACCCCCGTTCAACGGGTCCACGGGAGGCACTCTGCGGGCTCATCCCGGGTTGGCACGAGGCCAAGCACACTTATGGATATGCATACGGAACTGAAAGCGGTGCCACACGCCAGCCTAAGTACAAAACCTAAGGAAAACAGGGTGGGTAAAAAGAAGCGGTTCAAATCTCCACAAGTCCAAGGTCTCAGAATCTTCCAAAAGCTCCAAGGTTCAATATTGTAACTGCGAGACGATCGAGCGACAAGGACGACGGAACGTGCAGAGTCTGCGGATGAAGAACCGTTGCAAAGGCGGGAGTGCTTGTTCTAGTTAAAAGCAGGGCCCAAGATGAAATGGCTCAGGTAAAACTGCAGGTACGTCTGGCTGATCAGGCCAGATATCCGCATGTGCTGTGGCCGCTTCGTTGGACCATCGCTCACAGCACATGGATGGTCCCCCTGCTGTAAAATCCAAAGCAAAAACCAAAGCAAAACAATCCGAAAGGATCCCTGTGATTCCAAGGGTTACACACACACACACTAGAAATCAATTGGATCAATAGGAACTGCACCTTGGTATGCATACCTGTTTCTTGGCCTTTAAGGGTCTGACAAATGAAGAGCCAGCACGCATCCTCCATAGAAGAAGAAAAGGATGCAACCTGACACAATTCAGTGTTTGCAGCCAACTCTACCAGCTGACCAAAGAAAGTAATAAGACACATCCGAATCCAAACCATTCTAAACTCTAAACCATTGTTGAGAAGTTATCACAAACAATCAAATAATACCAAAAAGAAAGGAGAGCTGGTTGATCTAGCAAGAAGGATTCCAGCACAGCCCCGCGTGATCTAACTCTTCAATGTCCACAGTCTGCTCCTGCAAGCACCGTCCATCCGAAGAGAAGCTGTGCTAGCAGGCCGCTGGACTGCAGCAAAAGTGCTCGGCGGCATGATAATGCGAATCCAGTTAGTTACATAGCCTAATTTCCCACTTCTCATTCAACGGGCTTAAGTCTAGTGCTGTCTGCAATTCACAGCATGCCGGCCCACGAATACCCTCTTATACTGAAGCTGTCACATAAAAACACCATACATGTGGAAATATATTTCCGTCAGTCTTGCTGACTACAATGAGGTCTTTCAAGAGTCATTGACAATTCTGTAGACAAACAATATCAAACAATTATAAACTATAATACCAATATGGTGTTTGTTCAATGCAAACTCACGGACGTAGCAGCTTGAAGTTCTTGAAGTCTTTTCATGCAAATATTCGAAACTCAGACCGACTTCACTCACGCCTGCAAGATCAGTGATAGGGCAAACCACTTTGTGGGCAATTTGGGACCTCAGGGAGGTCAACCGTTAGTCGCATGATACGAGTACATATGAGTCCATGGACGGTCATGGAGTCATGGATGCATAGTCACATGCCCTCCACCCAAAAGAGCATCTGCGCTGCAACATTAGTAGGACCGGAATGCCTGGATTATCCTGGACTGGACTGGCCTTGCCCATCTCAGTGTCCCCTTTGGCACCTTCGATGGGGCTCGATGAAAAGGGATGCTAATTCTGAGTTGACCTTTAATTCATCTGTTAAAAACCGCTTGTAGGTAGGGGTCCTCTGTGCTTCCCTATTCCTCTTTCCTGGTCAGAAGGGCACCTTCTCAGCGCATGCAAGATACTACATGGTACTACCATTAGAGTAGGATTGACTGAATCCACACCGAGCTAAACTTTTTATCTGGCAAGCGTGGCTTAGTTGCCTCGTTTCAGGTCCTGTGAAGTACGTACCCCGAACGAGAAACTGCACTGGGAGGTGACACGGTGATGCACCGCAAAGAAATTATCACATGCCCAGCAGCACTTTCCGACTCTGGCACCCGAGGGTGACACATACCCAAGCTAAAGTCAACAAGTTCAGGACATCATAGTGGGCGTTGACTCGTTGACGGTTCACTTGATTCATTCTAGTTTTCGCGTTTGAACTTCAGACTCAGATTCAAGTTTCAACTGGATTGTAGGATGTGCAGTCGGTGTCTCTTGAGATGTCATGCAGAACAACGCTGCTTCGAAAGCAGACCGTGCAGCAACCGTGCATATTCTGTGAGACCGACTGGCAGACCCTCTTTTTGTGAACTTGTGCAACTTGACCATGTCAAATGTGTCAAACTTTCTTGATGCCCTGCCAAATCTGCAAGTTGGCCGCGCTTCCCTTCGCTCAAATTTGAGAATAAATTCGTGCATTCCTTCGCTTTGGCGTTCGAGGACTGGCCTGCAAATGCATCAATCTTCAATGATTCAATAAGTATCCAGCATCCCTGCAACATGTGGCAAGCTGGCCTGGATCTGCTGAAGTTCTTTCTCCAAGACCTCCGATGGCAGCAGCTCGTCACCATCATAGCGCAGCAAGCCTTTCAGAGTTGAATGCCACCTTCTTGGCATAATTTCGGTTCTAAGTTCTAAAAGGTCTATATTCTAGAATTATAAATGTATTTTTACTCAGTAGGTGCACACAACCCTCCCTTCAAAAGCCTTCGCTTAGGTGTGCCCCAACACGATGCATTCGCATTGGCAGGTACGGTTGATGCAAAACGACACAGGAGTCTTGTCAGTGTAAACATGTGGGCGCGTAAGAAGCTGCTTTGCCAAGGTGTGCAGTGACAAGAGCGTAGCCTTTCTTCAGAAAGACTCGGAGAACAGCTCGAAGCTCACCTGCAAACAAACTCACTCAGGCTCAGTTGCCAGGAGTTATTATGCGATGTGATGATTATATAGTGTAAGTAGCATTGCGTGGGGGCAATAATAGGTAACATATGATAACATTAATATATAACTATATAGAACAAAACATATTTTGCAATTTTGCAGTCAACCAATCCGCAAGCTCAAGGAGCTACAGAACGGGAGATTCGGCTCGGTGCACTTTTTGGGTGCAAGGGACAATATTGACCAACAACATGCATGGAAACATGACATCGAACATGCACCAATTTGCTTATATAATATACATTAATATACTACACATTTGTTCAACCAAACAGCCTTCAACAGCTCGTCACACGAAACATCAAGAAAACCAAATCAGAATCTATGGGGCGTTACCAAGTTGACTTTTCGCCATGACAATATGACTCCTACCTTAGACCCCCCTATGTCCACATACCCAGGAATATTTACTAATTATTCCACTACCCTTGGACATACATACATGTTATTTATTCAGGATGTGCACCTGATGCAGGAATATTTTCTGTCATTAGGCTCAGCACTTCCGACCCTAGACACAGGAATCTGTTGAAAGGATATGTAAAAATGTGTAAACACGGTCAATAAACTATGCTTCCATGCTCGAAGAACACATCCAAGACCGGCTCGACATGGAAGGGAAGGGTTTGGGATGGCATCCCCAGCAACAAATATTTAAACATATCTTAAATAATTCAGGGGGGGTGGCGCATGCAATCTAGTGGACAATTATTTAAAAACAATTTGGAAAACTGTCAAAACTCTGGAAACATCAAGGAAAGACAGGGAATGAAGGAATTGGACCAGTAAAGTATCAAAAATATGGAACTTTCACAGTTTTCCAAAAACCAAAATTAAGGAAAGACAGGACATGAACGAATATGACCAGAAAACAATCAACAAGTTAAAAATTAACAAGCTACTTTTTGTACGCTTTTTCTCCTCCCCCTGTCTACTCCCTTAACGATCGAATTCCTTCGAGGAGCTTCCTTAGTGCGCCCCTGGTCCCTCCCCGGTGCTCGTGGCCACAAGGACCTTGGCCCGGTTAGTCTCCCCGTGGCCCCAACGACATCGATTCTTCACTGAAATCATTCAATCTCCAAATTTTAGACACTTTGCTGGTCTCTGCAGTCTCCATTCCAGGAACCTGTACTTCTCTATCAGCATCTAGTCTCAAATCGTCGAACACATCCAAGACCGGCTCGACATGCTTCGATCATGTAAATTATTCCAGGGTTAGTTGTCATGAAATTATTCCATTTGAGTCTCAACATAAAGAGACCCCCTTCATCCCCCTTCAGGAATATTTAAATAACTATTCTACGGTCAAATTATTCTGCAAAAAATATTCCACTATGTGACATGCCCCCCTGGACTAATTACTTAAGGCAGGGGTCATATGACAATGCCGCCAAAGTGCCAAGGCCACGTTGGCATTTCTCCTGTAGGGCAAAGGCAGCACCAGCAACACCGCCACGCAATGTTGGCGCTAGGCCTGGACGTGCAGACTGGATGTGACCACATCTTTTGCAACCCTTTGGTAGGCCGCGGATAGAGGATAGGAGGTAGCTATAGTAGCTATTAAGTGGGACGCTACTAGCTAGGACGCAGGATAGCGCTCGCACTAAGGATTTGAGGGGAAACTTAAGGTGGGGAGGCCGATCGGGCTTCACCCCTCTGTTTCACCTTTAAGCCCACAGTGGTATGAGCGTTCACGCCCAAAGATTCCTCATGATACCTGGCTGTGACGCAGAATCATTACACTTGAGCAGTTTTCTTGACACCTCAACACTACTGATTCTCGCGGAGGGGGGTGGATTACGGGGAAATCTTGGTATAGGGGATACGGAAGTTTTCGGCCTCAAACGTGGCCACTTGCCATTCAAAAGAAAAAAACTGGAAGAACGCCCGATTCGACGTAACTGCGACGGCCGAAAGACATTTCAAGTGAATGTCCTGCAATGCCAATGCCAATCGCAGTGTTTCATTTTTCTCTGTATGCGGTCGGTCTTTGTTGCGTAAAGTTTGGCTGATGCACAATGCAGAATGCGAAGAAACAGCCGACAGCCAAACAAACAAAGTCAGCAACTTGAAAAAGGTAAACAGGTAGGTAAACCAAACTTTAATCTTATAGTACAGACTCTATACATACTACAAACAACAACGTTCCATGTACTTACTATGTTCTGTGTATTATGTACTATGTACATAGCTGCAGTGTTATGCATAAGTCTTGGGTTGGCTGCCTGGCTGACTTCTTTGTGCACTGTCACTGAACTGTGAAAGACGAGACTTTCCTTTCCATGGCCAATCAGGCAGCACAATAGAATCCCCTCACTGATTCAGAAGCCACCAGAAGATTGAAGCCTGACCAGCGGAAAATACGAAAACAATTCATGCAATGTCAAATTCCAGACTCAAACACTGAGAATTCGGCAATTACTGTAGTTTTAGCTGTTGGCAAATTTGTTGAGACTGGCTGACTCACCCTCCTTCCCCAGCAAGAAAGCATTGCATTCCAAAGTCCAAGTTCCTCCAAAATCATGTACTTAAGTACTAGCAGCAGTTGTTGTTTTGTCGCTTCTAACTTCTAACTAACTTTTTCCGGTGTCCTGTCCTGACGCCAATGCCTGGCCTCGCTAAATATCACTGTCGAAGAAGGAAGGGTGCAAAATGTCTAGCTGCATACGCCTAACAGGGTTTGAAGTTGGAATCTACCGTTCAATAGATTGGTGTTTGGACGGGATTTCAGATTTCATGTCATAAAAACTAAGAAGTGATTGAACTTGAAACTTCAGAAAAAGGGTGGGCTCAAACGCACAAACTATTGACTGGCCACTGGCCATTAGTTATGGCCAGTTGCTAGGCTATAGTAGCTAGTCTGCGGCTATAGGGCTAAAAGCTAGGAAATCAAAAAGTGGTGGCAGCAGTAGTAGTAGGCAGTGGGCAGTGGTGGTAGCAGCATCGCCTCGTTTGAAAGCATCCTTCAAATGCTTCATTCCACTAGGAGTCATAGGCTTCGTCTTCGCCGCCGCCGCCCGGGCCTGGGGTTTTGGTGAAGCTTTCACCTTAGCCTTGGGTTTTGGCGAAGCTTTCACTTTGGCCTTGGGTTTTGGCGCTGGCGAAGCTTTGGCTTTCGCTTTCGCCTTGGGTTTTGGCGAAGCTTTCACTTTCGCCTTGGGTTTTGGCGAAGGTTTGGCTGTCGCCTTGGGTTTTGGCGAAGGTTTGGCTTTCGCCCTGGGCTTTGGCAAAGCTTTCGCCTTGGATTTCGGCGATGCCTTCGACTTCGGGGAAGCCTTGGCGGCCGCCGCTTGGCCGTTGGCTTTGGCGTTGGCCCCCTGACCTTCTGCTGGGGCTGATGCTGCCAATGCTGATGCCGCTGCCGGGGCTGGTATCAATGCTGATGCCAATGCCAATGATACATCTGTAGTGCCATCATGATGATTCTGATCCTCCACCGCCGCCACCGCTGTTTTTGTCTCACCGGCACCGGCTTGGTCTGGGTCTTGCAAGGCCTGGGTGGGACCATGTGGTTGCTCACCAGGCTTCACAGTGGCGTTTGGATCTGCCTCTGGGGTCGCAGTCACAGTCGGAGTCGGA